CTCCTCCAGGCTTGTGTTATTTGTGGAGATAAAACTGAGTTGCAGATCAAACAGAGTCGATGTGACTTACAAGGCATTAATTCCTACTAGAGACCACTTCAATTGTATTAAAAATATGAGTTAAGTTGAGCTTAAATTTGTGTCATTGTAGCTGAACGTCCAGTCAACCCGATCCAACATGGCTGCTACAGCTATTGACTAGACACAAATATAGTTTCACCTCAGTGAACGTTTCTTGTACTGAGCTAAACGTTTACATGTTTATAGCTAAATGTCATTCTCAACACATACTCTGAGCTTACTGAGAATCTAATTTGTGCTCTCGTCAACTGTTTATCTGTGAAAATGATTTGCACCTCCTCTTATTTTTCTGACACCCTAGCAACAATGTGTTATGAAAACAATAAAAAGGAAAATATTTAATGAGTTTCTTCTTATCTTTCATACATCTGGCTTCATACTTTCAGTTGTTCACCCTGTCACTCTGCAGTCAAATAAAAGCCGGCTTTGCTCGTGAACACCTGAGTTTTCTTTAGATTGTGTGAATAGTTTGGTCTGGATTTTAACACGGCTGTTCACACGTGGAGATTCTCAGCTGGAGAACGACATTCAGCACACACGGCATAAATGCTGTGGAATAATCAGGCTCTGATGGATTTGATGGTCTCCACTTATAGTCGCTGCTGTATGAACTCCATAAAAGGTCAGGAGCAAATGCTTCAGGCTGTTCTCACATTGCTGTACCTGCTGGAAGTAAATATTCAGGGCCACAGCGCAAGTTTGGAAACTACACGATGAAGGTGCATAATGGTGTAGAGGGTAAATGTTGTGCTTTTAAGCTTAATATGTTACTGTTAGTTATGACCAATAAGCTGTGATATTCTATATAAATATAGAATATCAACCTGCTTGGTCTTTGGATGTTTAATCAGAAGATTCTAGGATTATTTGCTTTTTCAGGGATCAAGCACACTTCGTCTCAATTCAGACAGTCAGGTTTATAAAAGATAAGAAATTTAGTTTCTAAACAAATTAAAAACAAGACAAGTTAACTAAGACGACTGGGATGGATGAATGTAAGTGGATGGGATGTGATGTGTGGTGATTTATTGGTGTGTGTACATCAGAACCTTGTATCTAGAAGAACTGAGTTCTGGGTGAAAATAATTTGGTTTACATTAAGCTATGAAGTTGGTTCTTATTAAAACCAGCATCAGACACAATCTGTGTGTCTACCTCACCCTTTCTTTGGAGACCCTCTTCGCGGATCAGGAGGTCAGGGAGGTCGGATGACCGCTGGGCACCGAGGATTGGTAGATTAACCGCAGCACCGACTCTCCAGTCCAGAGATGTTTCCAAGTCACAACAGATGGATGAAATTGTTTGCGTCTAGAAGGACTCTTAACCCCCAAATTCCACTACCTCCGCTCCGGTCCGCCCCCGCCTTCCGCAGCCGCTCGCTTCCGAACTCAATTTTTCTTGGTACCCGCTCTACAACGGCTCCGCTCCGGTGCGGAGACCTGAGGGGGGCAAACAAGCATGCGCGGGATTTTCGAGATCTTGCGATACAGTCCGAGCAATAAACGCTGAAGTTAGATCCAAACACCCGTTGTGTGGGAGAAGCATCGGCATGAACTGTTTAATTTGCCCATCATTTGTGTTGAGAGATCAGCAGTGTGTGGATCAACAAAGGGTGACTACTTTGATAGTGGAAACTGTATTTATGGCTTACTTTTGTGCATTTAAACTTCAGCCGCCATTGATAGTAGTTAAAAGTTGTTAAACCTGTGCATATGAAACAAAAAACGCCTTTTGTTTATCGATTTATTGTGAAAAACGGAAGTTGTGCTTGCTCCTTTTCCTGTTGGGCTGTTGTGATTTCTGTCCATTTACTGCGGAGGTGCTCCGGCGTCCGGCGAAAATAGGATCGATTCTATTTTTGCCGGACGCCGAAACAGAGGGCGGCGCACGGCGCCGCACTGCCGGAGCACGGCCGCAGTAGTGGGATTGCTCTGATTGACTACAACGGGACCGATTTTGCTCCGGCGTTCGTGTCGGAGCGGAGCGGAGGTAGTGGAATTTGGAGGTAAGGAGTGGGAACTGTATGAGCTCTGTTCTGCAGGAACCGTTTGCTGTGTCAGCTTCAGCGTGTAGCAGGGTTTTTGACAGCATGTCAAAAGTGCTCTGGGTTAAAGAGGGTTCACTTCGGATGGCCTGTCCATAGCTTTCTCTAGAACTGACTCACCGTCAAGTGAGCTCTGTTTTAAAATTCTCATTTTATGATTTCTTGGCCAACCAGGACGTGCCATGTTAAGGGGCGTTAACAAGCAAACCTCAGAACATCACGCCTTCTATCAGATACAGGATGTTCTGATTTGTGGCTAAGAAAATATCTATGTGTCATGACATTTAATTTAACTTTAATTTATCCCTAATGAGCCTTGTGTCTGAGGCCTAGTCCACACGTAGCCGGGTTTTTTTTAAACGAATATCCGCCCTGCCAAAAACTTGCATCCACACCACCTCGTTTAAAAAAAAACTCTGTCCACACGTACCCGGATAAATACATTGTTAAGGACATGCCAGACCTGTAGGCGGCAGTACTTGCAGAAGCCAGATGCCAGGCAATAGCCGTTCTTAACCTCGTCCTTCGTCTGTGGTCTTCCGCAAGGAGCAGTAATTCCGCTTGCAAAAACAAACAAGCAAAAAGCGCTTGGACAATTGATGAAGCGAGCGCAGCTCTGAGGGCATCCATGCTGTCGGCTATTGTAAACACAGGTCGCACACGTGATGTCAGCATTTTTTGTCGCGGAAAGTGACGTTGCAGACCTTAAAACTCCGGTTTTGTCCGTCCACACACAGACACCCAAAACGGAGAAAACCCAGATCTTCACTTTGGCCGGAGTTTTTAAAAAGATCCGTTTTCATGTGAAAAAACTCTGTTTTCGTGTGGATGACAGGCCAAAACGTAGAAAAATATCAACGTTTTGGCAGATCCCCGGCTACGTGTGGACAGGGCCTGAGTTTAGATAATAATTCACTTGTCATTTCAAACTTCATTAATTCAAGCACAGATTAATCAAGGTCAATGTCACATTTATTTCTAAAGCACACTTATTATTGCTTCCGCAACCCAAAGTTCTGTACAACACAGAAGATAAAATTGCGAGCAAGTATAACTAAAAACCATAAAACCATAAAAATCAGCAAGTTAGGATAAAAACAGCATTACATCACACAATTATAAAATCAATAAAAATGACAAAGAATGACAATGACAAAATAAAATCATCCTACATAAAAGCCAGGTTGAATAAATGAGTTTTAAGCAAGGACTTAAAGACATCCAGACTCTGTGAGGTCCTGATCTGCAGAGGAAGACTGTTCCAGAGTGTAGGACCGGCCACAGAAAAAGCCTCTTGTCTTTAGGCGAGCCTTTGGAACTGATCATAAAAACTGTGAGCCCAACCGCAAATTCCTGGCAGGAGTGTAGGGTGACAATAAATCATCTCTATAAGGAGGGGCCAGACCATAAAGTGATTTATAAACAAAAAGCAACAATATAAACTGAATCCTGTAATGCACTGTCAGCCAGTGAAGGGAAGCAAGCTCTGGAGAGATGTGATCATGCTTCCTTGTACCTGTTAAAAGGCGGGCTGCTGCATTTTGAACCAGTTGCAAGCGGTTTAAGGAGGAATGACCTAATCCATAGTACAGGGAATTGCAGTAATCTAGTCGACAGGAGACAAAGAGATGAATAACATGTTCAAAGACAGTTTCCGGCAAATAGCACTTAACCTTTGCAAGTTGCCTCAAGTGATAAAAACCAGACTGGACCACTGCACTTGTCTGTCCAATTTAAATGAACCATCCATAAAAACACCCAGGTTTTTCACATAAGGCTTTACAAAATCTGAAAGGGAACCAAGTGGCCTCACCGCACCCTTTAACAGGTCTCCACTGCCAAAAACTAAAATCTCTGTCTTCAGGTCATTCTATTTCATAAAATTAATTGACATTCATAATCAACCTTATTAATTTAAGCACAGATTAATCAAAACATCATTATTGTTTTCCATACAGCATTTGTTCATTCCATTTCATGATTGATTATCTCATATGAGCTGGAAATAGTCACTTTATTCAGAGAGTGAGCAATCCTGCAGTGTTATCAAAAGAAGGCTTTGTTTGGGAACACAGCCAGACATCTTGTTCCTCCTGAAATGTCAACAAGGCTGCAGTATCCTTCCGGGTTTTTAGGAAGCTAGGATGTAAAATTCACTTTAGAGAATGGAGTTTATGCCTGCAGATGACTGGTGGCATGTAGGTCATTCTGTTGGTGAAAACTGACCATTGCTGGATGTTACAATGACAAGCAGCTGTGTTCATTCTGTGGTTGGTGGTTAATGGTCTTTACTTGTATAGTGCCTTTTCAGGGTTCTAAAACCCCCCAAGGAGCTTCACAACACAATCAGTCATTCACTCATACACACACATTCACACCGGGGCACACTGACGAGGCAAAGCCTGCCGAACATTTGCGCCACTGGTCCCTCCAACCACCACCAGCAGGCATGATGGCACTGTACTGTAGCCCATCTCGGCGTTGTGCAGGTCTATAAAAATCCTCAGATCAAGACATGAAAATATTTAACCCCCATGATGATCTACATATCACGGTTTACCAAAAGCTTCCTTTTGTCGGTGGAAACTAAATGTCAATGTGCCAAAATGACATGTCTCATATTTATCCAGTGTACATACCATGTTTATCCATGGTCTTATAGACTTAAAGCATTCAGGCTGCTTTCATTGAGCTGTTAAGTCCTGAATTATCTTAGTAGATGTTGCTTCTGTTTGTGTTGGAGATCAAAACTTGTTGCTGGATGTTTTCAACTTGTAGCTGAGAGCAGATAAGTAATATTTGGGTGGTGTGAGCGGTTTCGTACACCCATTAAAACTGGAACTTTACCTAAAAGCTTCACCCTTTTTTCCACCAGCTGTGTCATTCTCAGAGGAAGAAAAAGAGCAGCTGAGAAAATTCCCAAACCGCTCCTTCCTGCTGGACAAGCCATCTCGTTCCCAAGCGTGGCTCGGCCTCGTGGACATCCTGCTGGCTTACTCCTATGAAGTGCGCTCTACAGAGGGGGAGCACAATGTGAGTGTGAGGATTTATGTGTGAAGAGGCAGTGCTTAGTCTTGGATGACAAAGCGCTCTATCCTCACATCCTTTAAACGCCCCTTTCCATTTTGTTCAAAGCCCTCAGAGATTACCAGCAGATTCCAGCGTTCAGTCCAGGCCTCTTTATGTCACTGGGCTGAGATAGCTGTAGGAAAGTGATGTGCTTTTACTGTCAGACTCACTACGTAGCATGGGGGACAACAAAATAATAACATCAACTAGGGCTATGAAACCAAATGTCACCATTAATGAACATTTTATTTCTTATTTGAGACATTTTAATAGAGGCCAGAACACATCTACTATTAGAGATGTGTATTGGTGAAATTCTGGCGATACGATACGTATCACGATACAGGGGAGACAATACAGTGTATCACGATATATTGTGATACATTCAGTTAGACGTTATTTGCGATATTTTTAGACTGAAATTATTGTAGGAAACTTCAATAAACAGTCCAAACTGATACATAACATGTTAAACATGAGGTATCTGAACCATTATAGAGGGATTTACTTTTCAGTGGTGGAAACAAAACCATTTCCACACTGCTGCCAACTAGTGGTCGATGTTTGAATTGCACCAAAAGAAAAGAAAACACACAAATGTTTGCATGTAAATTCTTCCAAAAATTACTTGCACAGCTTTTGAATGTCGATATAATATTGCTGGGAAAAAATATCACGATATATTGCCTTATCAATATTTTCTTACTTCCGTTTCTACTATGCTTCATGTACTGCATGCTCTTGTATTTCCTGCTTGCTGTTATTCTCTCACCATGTTGCTCTTTCATATCCTGCAGGTTGAGTCACCGTGGACTATCAGAAAACTCAGTGGGACCTTGTGCTGGCTGGAGGTGAGTCTGTTGTTTTACAGCTGATCTAAGAGCAAAAGCAGACAGTCTAATTTATTTGTGGTTTTGTAGTAAATGTGCACATTTATGTGCAGATGTTTTTCTCTAAAAATGGACAGGTTATTTTTTGTTAGTATTAAAAGTTCAAGGTGTTTAAATTAGTTGGATTTGCTATTTCTTCCATTTTAAAGCGATCAGGTCTTGTTAAGTGAGTTTCTGCATCTTCTCAAGCAGTCCGCTCAATCCCCCAGCTCAGTGGAACTGAAATTCCTTTCAAGGCTCCTCCTTTTTGTTGTTCCAAAACTTCTCGGGATATTGTAAGAGGTTAAAAATGGCTGACTTTCTGTATCCAGCCATGGCGATGTAGCAAGAGGCCTTGTTTGTGTAGTGTAGTGATGCGGCCACATTTAAGAAATTGAAGCCTTTTTGTCTTTGACATCAGAGGATCATTATTGGGTGATTTTGACTTTTTAAGGCTGTGGGCTATTGAGCTGATCCCCCAGATTTATATCTAGGTTATAGGGCTGAACAATATATCGTAAATATATCGTTATCGCGATATCAGCATGCACAATATGCATATCGCAAAGAACAGATAAATATTGCAATGAATGGTCAGCTCAAATGTTTGCTACACATTAGTTTTGTCAAAAAAATCGATACCCAGATATAAATCGATACTAAAAGTGGTATCTAAATGAGATATTCCATCCCTGTGGTATCGATATTATGGACTATTATACACAGCCTTCTTCAAGTACACCGACACGCACGACATGTCGTAAAGCAGCCTCCGCCTCCCAGACAAACAGAAGAAGACGCATGGCTACATAGCAGTTTCCCACGCGAGTTGTCTCCGATCCAAGTTTTGTCTGCCAAATAAATAAACAAAAACATAAACAGCGAATTTGGGAGACGCTTCACAGCCCAACTTAATTAGCATACCAAGTCCGACACGTAGTTGTATATTCACGCTTATGTGCTTAAAGGAAACTCCCGTTTATTGCAACCCGGACTTAATTTCTAGCATGCAGTACGTTTGTTTACTCACGCTGACAACTTAGGTGCTACTTGGATTCCCCGGGGTATTTACCGTAGGTCCATCGCCGAATCGCCGTCAGCCTATATCCATTTAACGGGTGCGGACGGGCACCCATGGTGCAGCCTCGAAATAAGACATTATCTGCACCAAAACATCTTCATGTCGAAAGGTTTTGTTAGGAATCATTAATGTGATTCCCTGTTCGTTTGGAGCGGGTCTGGTCTGGGATTTCTAGGCGTAAACAGACTAGCTGCGGCTAATCTAACCGGCACTTTTAATGACGTCACTGCCGTGCGCCAGTCTGTTTTTATTAAGATTACCGGTAGATGTACCTTAAGCCTGATTTATGCTTCTCCGTCTGCGTCAGTGCGGAAACACGCAACGCCATTATCCGTCCCTGCGTAGGGCACGCAAGTACGTACGGAGTCGAGCCCACTTTTTTAAACATCCGTCGAACGTGACGGATTACGCAAGCTTGTGATTGGTCAGGATGCCGCTGTTGTTTACAGCGCCGCCATTGCAAAGAGAGCCGAGGATAACTAGCGGCAGACACGGAGAAGCTTGAAGAATACCTCGCGAAAAAACTCTAAAAATATGAACGTTTAATTCCCCCGTGACTGGAGGAGTGAAACGATGCGCAGCAAGCATTTTATTTGTGGACGGAAATGACAGGAAACGTGGGTTTAGAGGTGGGAAGCGCATGAAGGGGTGGGAGAATGAGAGACAAATATGTCCCTGTTAAAAGTCTCTTATATACACAAAAAACACAATATAAACACACGATCTTGGACCGATGCATGACAGGATACCACAGAACAGCGCTACGCCCTCTGTTGTCCTGCAGGGCAATTGCTTTGCAACACTCTCCAGGAGACGGAGAAGTAAAAGAGCAAAACGCTTCCGTCAGTCCGTGCGTGTCTGTCCCTTGCGGAGTTGACAGTCCTACTGTGGAGAAATTCGTTTTCTCCCTTTATTGACCAACAGAGTTGTTCAAAAGTACAGAACAAAACATATGGCATTACATCTTATGACAAAAATGCACCTTAAACAGAGTTTAAGCAGCAAAACATCACTCTGCAAATAGTGTATATATAGTGAGACAATTCATGATTTTAAGTGTTAACTTTCACCAGTTTTTGTATGCACGTTTTAAAAAATGCTGATACTTGAAAGGTTTAAGCACTTTACACACTTAATTCTTAACATTTAATTTTTGTAATATAAATTGAGGAATGTTATTTTTTGAATAAACTTGTTCGATAAATGGGTGTTTTTAAAAAGTATCGAAATCGAGTAGTGAGTATCGAGTATTTTTTCAAGTATCGAATCGAGTTTGAAATTTTAGTATCGTGACAACCCTACTACACATAATGCATTCTGTCAATCAAACAGTAGCATGATGTTTTTTTAACTAATCAAATAGAGTTCTTCACCCATTTGGCCAATCGGGTGGGTTCTCATAGGTTAGATGCCCACCCCCGAGGCGGACGGCACTTCATTTTGATGGTTAGCAAACACCTGAGTTAGCTTTGTTCTGCTCTTTACGCTGATTCTGCTTTTCCCGGGATCCACTGATTGCCTTTTCTTGTTTTCTTTTTCCCTTTCGTCACATTGTTTGCTTTTCTCACTTTTATGATTTTTTTATTTTTGTTTTTGATTATTTTTGTTCCTGAGTTAAGTTTTTATTTATCGCAAGTAATATCGCCATCGCAGTATTAATGATTGTTATCGAATATCGCAGGCTTTCCTAATATTGTGCAGCCCTACTAGATTATGATCCAAATACTCCGTATTTTCACTGGTCTTCCGATTTTGGTCAGGTGTGTTGGTGATGAGCGGTTTTATTTGGGTTGTTAACTAGGGGTGTGAATCGTACAGCAACTCGCGATTCAATTTAATTCCGAATCAGTTCTATATTCAAAAATATTCACAATCAGTTATTTTAGTAAAAAGACTGTCAACTAGAGTGTAGACTTGTGTGTGTTGGGGGGGGGGGGTCTGACTGAGTGGGACAAAACAAAGAAATTACGATGTGTTTTTATATGTGAAACATCTTAAACTGAAAATTGAGTTTTCCAACATCTAGTAGCCTTTAGCAGTGGCAGGTTTCTCTGGGGCCTTGCTTACGAGTGAGGGAAAGCTGGAGCGCAAGATCGATAGGGGGATTAGTACTGCGTCTGCAGTGATGTGGGCATTGTCTGGTCTGTCATGGTGAAGAGCTCTCAATTTACCAGTCAATTTACGTTCCTACCCTCACCTATGGTCATAAGGTGCTGATTGAAAGAACGAGATTGCGGCTACAAGCAGCCTAAAGGAGTTTTCTCCGCAGGGTGTCTGGACTCTCCCTTAAAGATGGAGTGAGAAGCTCAGTCATCCAGGAGGGGTTCGTAGTAGATCTGCTGCTCCTCCACGTTGAGGTGGCTCGTGCATCTGATTAGGATGCCTCCTTGACGCCTCCCCGGTGAGGTTTTCCGGGCACGTCCAACCGGTTCGAGACCTAACGGGGGACCCAGGGCACATTGGAGGGATGATGTCTTAAGCCTGGCCAGGGAACGCCTTTGTGTTCCCTCTAGAAGAGCTAGCCCAAGTGGCTGGGGAGAGGGAAGTCTAGGCTTCTTAACTTAGGCTGTTGCCCTCGCGACCCGACTCTGAATAAGTGGTAGGGGTATAAAGGGATGGATGGAACATCTTGTAGCATGTATTCTCATGAAACCAGTTACATTTATCATTAAACACGAAGACTAACAGGTAGGGGGGTGCCACCTTAGACACCTCACGATTTGATTCAATTTTAATTCAGGGTCCTTTTATTCGATTATTAAACGATTGGCATGATTATTTCTATTTTTTATGCAATTCTTTAACAGTGTAGTTTTTTTTCTCTAGGGATGCACGATGTATCGGCATCGATATCGGTTTCAAAAGCAAACCTTATTGCCTGTGTTTACTTTCATTTTCAATAAATTTGCCAGCGGGAGCTCAGCAATAACTCCTCACGTCATCATGACATCTGCCTCTGTTGCGCCAGGACGCATACGACAGACCATTACCGCAATATTACTACCAAGTGAGGCGGAACGAATGCCACAAAATTCGCGCAACGCCATGCCGGCATGGCGCGTTTATAGACATACAATTGCGGTAATATTACGCCGATTTGCCGGCATGGTGTGTCTTATAAAAGAGGCTACTGACTCCATTGATCCTTTGCTTCTTGGGGATTGGGACTATGGTGGATGTCTTGAAGCAGGCAGGCACATGAGATGTCCATAGTGATCACTGAGATTATTGAAATCTGATGGAAACAATAAAAGCTCTTAGTTTAACCCAAAAGGCCTTTCGGCAGGAAATAATGTTGATCATATCAAACAAATATCAGCCTGCCTGTTGGCTAATTCCTGCAGGAACGAGCTGGTGTTGTGTCAGGTATCCTGTTAAAGGAAATCCTGACAGATCTGTAGGTGCACCTCTGCCCCGGTTCGCCGCAGTTCAGAGTTTTCCTTTAGTTTGACTCAAACCAGATGCGTTGTCGCGCGTCACACAAATAATGCACCATGTAAAATCTTAAAAACAATGTGTTTTAATTACAGATATGTTTATTGAATAACTTATTATTGTGTGGAAAGTCATGCAGTTTTCAGACCCTGTTTGGTGTGTAAGCGCGTGCGCGCGCGCGCACACACACACACACACACACAGGCATGCACGCACGCACACACACACACAGTTGGTGTTGTAACTAAAATAGAGCCTCCCCTTATCATTGTAATGTGTGCAAACATGGATGTCATCAACACTTAGATTTCTTAGCTTGCATCCACATATGAACAAGTTCCACGAGTCAGTTTTACCTATGAGCAACCAGACTTGCCAAGATGTGTTTTCCCTATTGAAAGATGTTTTTTTGCACACCAGCTCTGTGTTTGCAGCCACGTTGTTGCCGTGGAGACTACCCTTTAAA